ATAATTCTTACTTGTAAGTAAAATTCTCTTTATTTCATTAATAATGTAATAATAATTAACAAATGATTGAATAAGTCAAAATTTCTTATTTTTAAACTCTTAATTTATGGATCACCTTTTCATCATTCGTCATGTTAATTACCCAGATCATACGCGTATGGTCGGATCATATGAGTATATACGCACATGGTCATGAACAAACGCGTATTGTCCAAATACTCACATGGTCCGCAACAATAACAATACATTTTTAACTGTCAGCCATGTATATTTTTCTTGAAAGGAGGCAACAAAAACATTTCTTTTGGAAACAATACATATTAATTTATTAACCCTGGCTACGTTCTCAAGGAAACAAACAACCAGCTAATATTTCCCTGGGAAGAATATGTTTTGTTGTTTGTTTCCCGGAGAAATTATTCATTAATAACAATCGAAAATGTAAATTTTCCAAAGGAAATGTTTTTATTGTTCGTTTCCGGTTAAATTATCCATGCATAACACTTGAATATATATTATTTCCAAGGAAGAAACGTTTTTGTGGTCTGTTTCTTATAAAAACAATTCAGTTTCATAAGTAAACAAGAGATGCCTTTGTTTGTTATTTCTTTTTTCTCATATGAAAAATGCCGATGCTATAAGAAATATTTCTTTCTGTACCACTTTAAATATTATTAATTATTAGTGTAATCCTCTGAAATTAAACTTGCTAAATTTAGATGAGTTCAAATAGTTATAGTATTAAATTATTTTTAGAAATCTATTCATTTTCCATACATTGTATATGGAGGAAAGTCAAATTTCTATTGTTTCCTAGGAAACATTCCTCATTTTACAATTAAACAAGCCCTTTTCAACTGATTTGTTTGGTAAAAAAAACTATGTTCTTATGTTGAACTGTTACATCACTGTCCCAGGTTAGGTGGAGGGTTTGGCACCAATAAACTAGTTAAACCGACATTCTGTATTTGCCTGTCCCAAGTCAGGAGCATTTTATAGCTGACTATAGGGTATGGGTTTTGATCATTGTTGAAGGTCGTACGGTGACCCATACTTGTAAACTTCTATATCATTTGGTCTCTGGTTGAGAGTTGTCTCATTGGCAATCATACCACACCTTCTTATCTTTATTAGATACTCTAATGTATACATGTTTCATAAATGTCAAGACAAAAGGAAATATTGTCTTCACGAATGAGGTCTTAATATGATATTTATTGGTAATTATTCTCTCAAATGACACACTAAACCAGTAGCGTTTAGTTGAGTTGCATTAGTAGTTCTTAATCATAATGATAAATCTCTGCATCTTTCCTACATCATAAAAAGATAATAGTTGCAGAAAATTACAAACAAGCAGGAAGCAGAAAACAAAAATATTTCTACGGGAAACAATACATAATTATTCACTTGTTATCCATATATAGTGTAGGACAGATGCGGAGATTTAACAACATGATTTAGTACTACTAATGAAAATCTATGATATGCTACTGGTTTAATATTTCATTTGAAAGGATACTTGCAAACAAAATTATATTATCATATGTCTTGGTTCAAGAACTATGATTATTTTTAGTCTTAACATTACTTACAACTATAAACAATAGAGTATCTTGTTTCGGCGTTTTTGTAATAGTTAATTGATAATTATCCAGGAAAAAAAATAGCAATAAAAATTATCTTGGTGGAAAGAATTAAATGTGATTGTTATTCAAATAAAATGTATAAAACTACAAAGAGTTAGAAAGATGATTTCGCATTGCCACTAAAATTCATCTGACTCCATCGGAATAATTCAACATATCAGAGGGAGACAAAAAAAAACTATATATAAATAGGTAATAGATACTTTTGAAAAATATACACAAATAAACTACTTCTTTGTTGTTGAGAAAATAAATAATGTCCACAGGGAACGTGTTTTGTGTGGAAAACAATAGAAATTCGACTTTCCTACAATGTAAGAAAAGTGCATAGATTTCTGAACATGATTCAATTTTACTTATTGAAATCATCTTAACTTTGAAAGCTTAATTTCAGAGGATTACACGATCAATCAGTGATACAAAAAGGAATATCACATATATAATTAGTTTTTATGAAAAAGAATAGCCGAAAAGTATCTACCTTTTTATGAAAATAAATAATTTCCATAGGAAACAGTCAACCAAAATATTTCCCTGTGAAACTATACATAATCAACTGGTATTCATGAAAAGTTTCCCAGGGAAATAGAAAGTAAGATGGTACTATTTTACGCGTAAGTATTTCCGATATTTTGCACCAGAAATCTTATTGTTTCCCAGGGAAATGTGTCTTATATGGTATATAGTATACTATATTATAGTACTATATGATCTTTCCCTGGGAAATAAATTGACGACAACTTTAGTTAGCTGCAAACGTATCGTATGCCCTTAATCATTTAATTATCACATTAAGTATTGCATCGATCTACATGTGCGAGAACGTGGCGAAATTAACATTACACCAAAATATGTTTAGAAAACGTTCAACCGACTTTTCATAATCTTAAAAGAATAATTGCATTACTGGACAGACAACTCAAACACTTTTCATTGATTTTTATAGTATACAGAATAACTGAATATTGCTACTTACTAGTATTACATCCTTATTTGTACCCATGTAAACTTGTAAGTCCTTTGAATAAACATTGTATTATGATGTTCGAATATTGTCTTTAACGGTTTAAACATAGATTTAAATAGTTTCTTAAATATCTAGGAGCATGTTTTACTATCCAGCTTTTAACACCTATGGTACTATGAGGGTCGGAATGGGCGGTCCGTCATTTCTGTATTCTTTGTTTTTTTAGGCTACTTTTCTCTATTCTTTTTACTTTTTGCACGATATTCTCTATTCCTTATATTTTAGCTCCTTGTTATTCTCTATTCTTTATATTTTTCCCCATTATTCTCTATTAAACCCATATCCACATCCTTTACTACATACCATGTCGATATTTATACTTTCGAACTCTTTTTATTAAGTCTTTATACTAAATCCTTTAAAGTGCTATTTTTTTATATTTTAGTCTGGGAAACATGGTTTATTCAATATTTGAAATTGTTAGCTCTCAGTAACTGTGAATACTCTTAGATACTTGCTCTGTGTCTATTGTTATTTTCTTGTTTTTGTGCTAAATAATGATCTGATAAGTCAAGCCTTTCCCGTTTGTTCCTATATTTTACTGTTATACCACTGCCTCGGGTAACTGTTTTTGAGCGCTTCAAAACATATCCCGAGCCAGGAGCGTGTAATCTGTCTGCCATATTTGGTCTTTGTTCATTGTTGTAGTATAAATCAAGCAGTTGTTTTTTACTCTTTTGGGTTGTTTCACATCACGTGATCCCTATCGTAGCTTATTATATGCTCATCTACTTTAATCTTATTTTTCATATTGAGATTTGTAAATTTCTAATAATTTGGCCTAGAACATTACTGAAAAGATATTTATTGTTATGAATTGTCGAAATGCGCATCAGGTGTAGTAAAGTTTTAACCGTTGATGTTAACCCAGGGTCAAAATGCGCAATTGACATTTGTGCTGTCACAGTTATTGCTATAACTGGGTGATTCCTTTGATTCCAGCCCAATTGTTTTCCTTAACATTGTTATCAAATGTAATGACCATATGTATTTTAGAAGCAGTATTAACTATTTCTTGATAGTAATACTGGATAAGCTGCGTTTCTTTGATGAACAGTTTGTCTCTTTTGACAATTCTAATGTTTTTACTCACAATACAAATTTATGATTTCTTTATTCTAAATACACCTTTATGATTTCTTTACTCTGTATACACCTTTATGATTTCTTTACTCTGTATACACCTTTATGATTTCTTTACTCTGTATACACATTTATGATTTATTTACTCTGTATACACCTTTATGATTTCATCACTCTGTATACACCTTTATGATTTCTTTACTCTGTATACACCTTTATAATTTATTTACTCTGTATACACCTTTATAATGTCTTCACCCTGTATACACCTTTATGATTTTTTTACTCTGTATACACAGTCCAGATTTCTTCGCGATGTATACAGTACTGTATTATCTTATCAAGCAAATATTTTCTGATTCAAAAATTATATGGGTCCAAAGCAATTTTCTGGATTTATCTTCATCAGGAACTCTAAAAACTAAAAGACTGAAAGCAAGGATGTAAAAATACGTAGAAACGTAATGAACTATTTGACCAATAGGGACCGTAAAAAACCAATCTATCTAAAGCAATATTGGCTGAGGATGTTGGAACCCTAGTTTCTAAATAATTCTTAGTTCATCAAAGTTAGACTACAGATGTTCAAAAGCCGTTAATCCTTTTTATATATTCAAACGAAGAGAATATACAGAGGGAATGGCACGAATTCTAACTTAGAGGGACTGGGTGTGTCGACATTGTAATCATATCCTATGGTTGTTGGCAATGGGAAAACCGAAATCGTCACAATCGTCATAGATCCTAGTTTGAAGTCGTCAATCTGTGTAAATTTTAGGAAATTTGAGTTTGATGGACTGATATTTCAGCAGACAGTTGATTTTCCAATGGGTACTAATTGTGCACCACTACTGGTCAACTTGTTATCACGTCGATAATATATAACATTTTCTAAAAGAAAATATGCCAGAAAATTCTATTTTTCTGTCAATCTAACACTGTACAGTGACGGTTAGTTGCCTTTTTCGTTTAATGATCAGTTTGACTACTCTGAAGCGAGAATATTTATTTGAACATTTCTTTTGCATTTCTTTTTCGCAAAAAATACCAATAAATGTAGTAAAATTTTGCTACTCGAAATTGCTTATATTTGAATAAAATCTGAGACCATTTCGCTCTACATTTATCAACCGAAACATAAAACTGGTATGCAATATGGAAAAAAAAGATTAATATATTGACAGAATCTTCATAGTGATTTTTTTTTATCATCAACAAATGTATTGTTTGGTGCATTTCAGAAAACATGTTATTGATCATATTCTTGTTGATGCTTGTAACCATGACCGTGAATGTGAATGGTGAATGTACATGTGGAAATAAAACTCTTCATCAACATTTCTGTGATGATGAATTCGGTATGTGCTTTATAATCTAATCTATCACCTTTCAATTTCAAATCTCGTTATATGGCAGTACTATATTGTTGACTAAATTTGTTTTACATTCAACTTATTTATGTAGTGGATACCAGAATAATCTGTTTTCGTGTTGATAACTTTTCTCATAAAGCGTTTGTTTGACTGTTCGGGATTCAAAATACCATGTTTAGCTGCCACGTCAATTATGATTTAGCGTATAATCCTTCAATAAATATATTAGAGACTACATATTCTTTATGTAAAGACCACATTGCTACAATTTATAAATATACCTTGTGCAGTTAATTTCCAGTTGATATTCTAAACATTTTTATCAACCCAATAGTCAGACAGTTCAGTCAATTAACCCACATGGCTGCTATTAATTGTAATAGTTTGTTTCATTAGCATTTTGGTCTTAACCATGATGATTTTAATTTTGCTCCAAATGTAGATACGAAAGAAAACAAAAAATAACTGTTGAATCAACATGTATCCACGTGTGTAAATAGTATTATTACTTGAAAAGATATTGAAAGAATCATTAGAATTGAAATATATATTTAAAATTGAATATAAAATAATAATTTTTTTTTCGCATTCCGCATTGACTTGACACATGGTTGCTATATACTAGTATATAAAAAAGATGTAGTCAATTGTTATTTGTGTTTTTGTTGAGTTTTATTACATTTTCGTATGATATCTAACTTATGAACTAATACAATACATATTAATGTAATTTCAGTAATTAAGGTTGTAATACTTAAACATAAATTAAACGACGAAGGTGATTCAGGAAGAAAATACATAACGTATGTTTTGAATAATTACAAGGTAAGGAAATAAAACAGTTGTCACATAGACTATTTCATATGCATAAAAAACCAGATACAGATCAAGCACACCAACGAAGCAGCAATTAACTAAAAGCACACGGTAAAAAGAAACGAAATCCAAACTCGATGGATGACCATGCTTATGGCTTTTAACGATGAGAAGTATTTACAATTCACTCAAATTTAAAACAAAATAAGATAGAATGTCTCATATAAACAAGTAACAATTATACAGATATCATACAGTGCTTTAGGTTTTATTCTGTAGAAAGAATTCACCGTAATACTTACAAATAAATAATCAATTTTTGAATATGAAATATTTGGTCAGTTTTTCTGTAAAACGATCTTTTTTTTTACGATACCATTTATATTGTTTTCAATAGAATACTCTTCTTTATCATTGAAAAAAGTTAAGACAAGGGGGAATAATTCGATAACGAGCACCTTAGGATGTCCAAAATGTCCAAAATCGGTTGAATTAAACCGAATGAAACCTTGCTCTGTATGAGCAATGGGAAGTGCTCTCACATAAACAGTATAAAGGCAACTGACTTCATAAATCAATATGGATAACCAAACAACGGCCATCTCATAACAAAAATAAACAAAATTCTTCGAAAACTTTTGTTTCCACCAACAAATATAAAGAAGGTCCCTTTGAACGATAGTATATTCTATAAAGTATATTCTATAACAGTTAATTAGGTTAATAACACAACTATGGACATTTAAAAAAAAGTTTGTAAATTTAAGCAACAAAAATACGATTTGCATAACTTCCTAGAATTTGCCTCTGCGCCTGTAGATTATATACACGGATTTAGAAATTTGACTGTACGAGAACCTGCGGACCGGTAAAATGTCCAAAATCGGTTGAATTAAATCTAATGAAACCTCGCTCTGTATCAGCAATGGGAAGGTGCTCTTACATAAACAATATAAAGGCAACCGACTTAATAAATCAACATGGATTGCCACCCAACGGCCATCTCATAAAAAAAATTCTTCGAATACTTTTGTTTCCACCAACAACAAAATATAAAGAAGGACCCTTTGAACGATAGTATTAAAAAATAATACATATCAATCTATATAGATTATGTACACGAATTTAAGAATATGACTGTACAGTAACTTCTATTGCTAGGAAAACAATGAATTAATGCCATGGGACTATCTGGAACTTTTTACAAATTCTACCAATAGCACGTGTGGTGTAACTCTTCAGCCATCCCACCATTATATTTTAGGAGGTATGTATATTCAATTTTATGTGAATCATTTGACATTGTGCACTTAAAAATTGCAATAATCAAACCTGATTAATATTATCTGACAATACCAGAGATGCGGTAGTGGTATTATGATAATGCGGAAATTGATTGAATTATATATCAATGTTTTTTATATATATATTCTAAGCTCTAAACACATTCAACACTGTGTATGTAAATGAAATGTCTTCGTTTAAAAACAAGCATGATAACATTACCCAAGTGAAACTTCCTCTTTTGATTTTAAGGAATTTCAACAATCCTAAATAGTTGAGCGATACGATTTGTCGTTGTCTCCACACCCGACTGATTTGTTAGATCTACGATCTACAGAATAGGCGACATCTAATCTGTAAATTTACAAGCGATTTCCTATTCCTTATCATTATATTTTTGACTCAATCTCAATGCCTATGAATTGCAGCAACCACTGACCCTGTCGAAATTCCCTCTGTATTTTTCTTTTCTTTATATGTATATTCAAAATGAATTTTTACGAGTTTTGAACATCATTAAACTACTGTTGCGTTTATTTACCTATACATTTTTGTACATTCGAATAAAAAGATATAAGTCAACGCGACGGATTCCAGAATAATACAAAAGACAATCAAAAAATATGTCTCGAGGTCGACATACGGTATTCAAAAATATTAACAACTGCCAATTTGTAAATATATCATTATTGAGGAATAATCCAATGAAGGGTAAATTAGTCTGCATGTCACGTCATACAGTGGGCCGGCATACACTTTTATCTACGTCAGACATTTCGGCCCTCCAAAATTACTTTTCTTCGTTCATACTTTGAACGACAAAATTATTTTATTTATTAATATTACTTTTACTGTTGAGTCTGTTTTTTGTGATATACATTTGACGTGACTCTGTACTTATGTATATCGTCATACTTTGTACCACACAATTATTTTATTGTATTTATTTATATTACTTTTACTGTTAAGTCTGTTTTTTGTTATATCCATTTTACGTGACTCTGTATTTATTTATCCCGTCATACTTTGAACGACAAAATTATTTTATGTCTACCTGTGCGAATTTCAAACGCGCGATTTTACGCCAGTACTTAAAACCTTCCATCCTTTATGGGTGGATTTTACATAGATAAATAAAATCGTATAATATAAGCAAAATGAGGATGTTAAATTTGATGTATGCCTTTTTGTGCTTCTTCGTTACATTTGTTTGTTTTATAGTGATTAAGATGATAACACAATGTTGACTGCTATACCCCTTATTTTGACATTTTTACCTATTGTGTCTGTTTGTTTTGTTCACGCATCGTTGTCAGTATAATGGAATTTGATGCGACTGTCATACAAGTGAGAGGTTTAGCTAGCTATAAAACCAGGTTCAATCCACCATTTTCTATAAAAGAAAATGCCTGTACCAAGTCAGGAATATGACAGTTGTTATCCATTCGTTTGATGTGTTTGTTTTTTTTATTTTGCCATTTGATTGGGGACTTTCCTTTTTGAATTTTCCTCGGAGTTCAGTATTTTTGTGATTTTACTTTTTTCATATATATGTTAGTGAAGCCTAGGTGGTCGAGTGGTCTAGCGCGACGGATACTGTGCAGACGAATTGGTGTCACGAGATCTCAGTAGCATGAGTTCGAATCCCGGCGAGGGAAGAACTAAAAATTTGCGAAAGCAAATTTACAGATCTAACATTGTTGGGCTGATGTTTAGACGAGTTGTATATATATATTTATGTTTTCAATTTAGACTTGTATATATATATATATATTTAAGAAAGTCTGAACCAGTGACAACTCTACGACAGATTTTATCCATCGGATCACCAGTGAGGGTATACAAGGCTGAAAACACATTCTGTATATTTAATTCGTCTAAATAACAGCCCAACAATGTTAGATCTGTAAATTTGCGGAAGCAAATTTTTGTTCTTCACTGGCCGGGATTCGAATTCATGCTACTGGGATATCGTGGCACCAAATCGCCTTGCACTATGCCCGGCGCGCTAGACCACTCAATCACCTAGGCTCGACTAAAATCAAGCTTTCGGTGACCGTGTGTTACCTCTCCTCGTCAGTTTTTATCTAGCGTCGTAACACAGTACATGATATATAAGGCATGAAGATGGAATGTACCAGATCAGCTGAATTATCTATCGTAGAGGATCTTACAAATTAATGTAGGATACAGTCACAGAAATAATTATATTATAAGTAAGTCTGAACCAGTGACAACTCTACGACAGATTTTATCCATATATATATATTGAGCTTGTGTTTTGTTTATGGTGTATAATTATGTACAGATCGAGTTCGAGTTTTGTTATTCGGCAGCAGCCATGACTAATAAGTATTGTTTCGTGTTGTATGTCTGTGGTGTATGTTCACAAATTTTTGGAGATGGATCCCAATTATTGTCACGTTTACAACTTGCGTTTCTTTGGGTTGTTCAGACAATTTTGTCAATATAACGGAACTATGAGTAACTGTTATACAAGTGGAAGATTTAGCTAACTATATAACCAGGTTTAACAAACCATTTGTTTTTTCGGGAAATGCCTGTATCAAGGCAGACATATGACAGTTGTTTTCCATTCGTTCCGTTGGTTGATAAAGTTTTCTGGAGTTCGGTATTTATGTTATTATTTTTACATATTATTTTTTATAATGACAAAAGGTATATTTAACAATCAGTAATTGTGTAGTTGTAAGTCGTTCGCATTTTTATGTAACATTTCTTATAATTTCAGGAATGTATGATAGCGGTAAGCTTATTTTTATAACAGTATATCTATATCTTTTACAGTATTGAGACTTACAGACAAATAACAACGTCAAATAAAAAAGCAGAACTTAATTTTTTTTAAATTCCTTAGTCACACTTATAAAATATGAATACATTAAATTGCGTAAATTAAGATAAATTGGTCAATTATTCTGAACAAAACACTGCATGGTGACAGTCAGTCTTAATATATTTGAATAAGGAAAACGTAACTATATATTTCACCGAGGGTAACAGTTGCCGATGCTTCAGCACTGCCATAAGTTATATATATATATATATATATATATATAATTCCCACCTCATTAGTTTGGAATAAAAACTGAAGTGTTTTGTTTACAAAAGATTCATTAATGACGCTTGAAACATATACAATAAATTAAAGAGTTGTTGCAAGGTTCCTCAACGTATAGAAATCTAAACAATCTTTACACGAAGCAATGGATTTAATGGTTCCATTCCGACTAAACGTGGCGACGTACTTACACAACTCACACAGCCAAACGAACACCCTCTTTGGCAAAGGGTTTTTACTGCCGTATGTAAGACCAGAAATAACCATATTTTAATACTCCAGTCAAGGTTTTGATGGCCTTTCAAGCGTATTCAAGTATCTTTGATTAATTATCTTTAAAATGAAGGACTCTTGAATAAAATTGAGAATGGAAATGGGGAATGTGTCAAAGAGACAACAACCCGACCACAGAACAGACAACAGCAGAAGGCCACCAACAGGTCTTCAATGCAGCGAGAAATTCCCGCACCCGGAGGCGTCCTTCAGCTGGCCCCTAAACAAATATATATACTAGTTCATTGATAATGAACGCCATACTAAACTCCAAATTGTACACAAGAAACTAAAATTAAAAATAATACAAGACTAACAAAGGCTAGAGGCTCCTGACTTGGGACAGGCGCAAAAATGCGGCGGGGTTAAACATGTTTATGAGATCTCAACCCTCCCCCTATACCTCTAGCCAATGTAGAAAAGTATATATTTAAATATGGAAACCTAAATAAATTTATTACAATAAAATAAAACATCTTGAAATACTGAGGCACTCATAAATAAGTAGTTAAATATATATTTGACTTTCAGAGGGTAAGCACTGGATTTCACAGTGTAATTTAGTTGTGGTTGGAATGGATATTCCTTGTAGTACGGATGATTATAACAACTGCAATTGTAAGGTAATTATTATAGCATGCTCAAGAAGATGATGAAAAATGTAATAACTATAGTTCAACATCTTTTGACAAATTTTATTTCACTGGTTTCCTTGTCGCAAGTGTACATGCAGATAGGCAATATTTTACCGTTCAACCACCGTAAATCACGGATAGGGATTTTTTTCATTCTTCCATGCATGTTTCCTTCTTTCTTTGTTCAAGTTTCAGTTGCTACATTATTGAAGGATACCCCCGCAATTCTATGTATTAAGAAAGAATAACGTTTAATGTTTACAACGATTAAGTATGTTGTACATGTGAACAAGTAACATGAAATTTACTAGGTTCTTGTTGTCATGTTTGCTTTTTGTAAATTGTTTTGTTTTAAATTAGACCATTTGTTTTCTCGTTTGAATTGTTTCACATTTTTTCATGTCGGAGCCGTTTATGGTGACTATAGTATATGGGTTTTTCTAATGCTTTTGGTGGTCCTTTTGATTCTATTGACAGTTTTGACTTTTTAACTCTTTACACTACACTTCCACAAGGCCGTACGGTGACATTTATAATTGCTTATATCCACTCATTTGAACTCCGGTAGATAGTTGTATCATCGCAATCATACCATACTCCTTATTTATATATTGAATATAACTATTCATTCTGAATTGTTTAACCTGTAGATAAACCAAGTTTCTGTAATATAGATAAAGACGTATACCACTTTGTAAATAGAAAAAAGTGGAATAGTTAAATTGCAAAAATGGTAAAAATATTTTGAATGTTACAGACTATAGAGTAAGACATGTAAAGAAGGTTAAAGTTTGAAAACTGTTACATGTACCTCTGTCTCACCCCTAATAATTAAGAAGACAATTAATTGTCGTGACATATTAAGACAATAACATTGAACAAAAGGTCTTAATATTCAGTTGTAAATTTTGATTTCTGTTGATCATGTAGAAAAAAGTAAAATAAAAAAAATATCGAAATCCAAGGAAAATTCAAAACGGAAAGTGCCTTATCAAATGGCAAAATCCCAACCTCAAACACATCAAACGAATGGAAAACAACTGTCATATTCCTGACTTGATACAGGCATTTCCTTATTTAGAAAATGGTTGATTAAACCTGGTAAATAGAAAAGAAATTACTGCTTTTTTATGCTTGGGCTATTTTGTCTGTTTCGACTTGAGTTTTATATAACAAAAGACTCAATAAAAGATTATTTGACGTCAATGAAACAGCAACCAGACAACACATAACAAAAAAATATACAAAAATAATTGTGTAAAAGCAATAAGTCACATAAAGGAATGTTTAACCAGCTCAAAAAGGATCTGTTTTATTTTAATCATTAACTTGCTTCTTTTGTCTATAATGAGTTTATATACTATAATCCTATCATATATTAAGAAATAATAAAGATATGTTGATTTAAACAATTACAGGACATCATATGGTCAACAACAATGAGTAAAACCCATATCATTTATTAAATCTACCGAATTAAACTTATTACCGGATTTGTTCTTTGAAGAGCAACACGACAGGTGCCACATGTGGAGCAGGAACTTCTAACCCTTCTGGAGCACCTGAGATAACCCTGGGTTTGTGGTGGGGTTCGTGTTGATCAGTCTTTAGTTTTCTATGTTGTGTTTGTATACTGTTTTCTGTCTTTTGGTCCTTCCCTTTTTTTGCCATAGCGTTGTCAGTTTATTTTCGACTTATGAGATTGAATGATGCGCTTTGATAACTTTCGCCCATCTTTTTAAGCTATAAATGGAATGACAGAATATGAAACAACTAAATTTATACAAACAATAATAAACGAAAATAAGTATGGCTGATAGCAACCAACGACAGCCATTGGATTACAGGTTCCCAAATATTGGCTTTCAAATATTCGGCTTTGAGCGTTCCTGATGAAGGTAAATCCAGAAAAGCGCTTCGGACGCATGAAATTTATAACGTGTTGTTTTCATTTTTTACAGCACTGAGTGGATACCTCTGCTGGTGGACTATCAGTCCCCGCGGGTATTATCAGCTCAGTAGTCTGTACTTCGGTACTGACATGATTTATAACAAAATTTCTTAAATTGCCCGTTTATAAATTTTGAAATTATAAAGAAACTAATAAGGTTTCAACTTCCTCAGGCAAAGTTGGCCTTAGATGGGATTGGCTTTTTTAGGTCCTTTTTTGGTTTTAGCTCTTCAACGTTTCGGTACTTATACATCCTTGGCTTTCAAATATTCGGCTTTGAGCGTTCCTGATGAAGGTAAATCAAGAAAAGCGCTTCGGACGCATGAAATTTATAACGTGTTGTTTCATTTTTTCCTGTCTTGAGACAAGCACATAAAGAATCTGTGACCATTCAATCCGCCCCTAACATGTGACATTGATGTAGCAACACAACATAAAAGTAAACATGAGTTGGAAAAGGCTTGACTCATCAATAAGGTACTTGAAACAAATAACAAAAAGACAAAATGATCAAAGTGCTGGCAGCCCATATTTATTTGAAAACACTATATTTACAAGCATTATAGTAATTTATTATGGTGAAACTCCAACCCAGTTGTTCAACTAAATACTATAATCACACATGTAAGAAGCTATACGATAAATACTATTTTTATTTCAGATAATATATGAAAAATGCAAGACATCGAAATGTCCGAGCGAAAAAGACTCCTGCACCTACAATCCAAAGGAAAACGAACATTTGACAGATGCATGCCTTCGGAATAAAATAACTGGAACTTGTCAATGGAAAACATGTCCAGCCGCAAAGTAAAACAATTTTATGACATTTTGTTCTATATTTTCATGGATAAGTGCTATAATTATGTTCATACAGTATTTTAATACATAATAAATGCTCTATTGTGTGCGTGCTCAGCTCATATTTTAACTTATTTTGTCAGAAGCGCTAATTTCGTCTTGAATTATATGTTATTTAACAAGGCGTCTTTAGCTCTGCTTAAGTAAAAAAAAAAATGTAAATATCACTTTCGGTAACTTTAAAAAACTAATAAAAATCTCTGACTTTTTTCTCGTTTCAACTTATACCAAAACAAACTATTTTTGTGAATCTTGTCCATCTGTTTCTCAGCCGTTCTGCTATACTTGTCAAAATTTTGAATGTGAATGGCAATATGGAGTGAAGTCTATTAAATAAAGGCAACAGTAGTTTACCGCTGTTCAAAAGTCATAAATCGATTAATAGAAAACAAATTCGGGTTACAAACTTAAACCGAGGGAAACACATCAACTATAAGAGGAAAACAACGGAACAACAGACACACTGACTGCAATAAAAACAAACGCCAACATACATATTAAACTATATTTATGTATACAAAATACTAAAAATTTTAACTCTTGATATAGTACCACATATTTGTCAAATAAAATTGATTACAACAAAGTTCAATATTCTTCTCAATTATGAAACAATAAGAAACGTTGTGCGATAAACTAACCGACATAGAAGAGTCATATACACAAACATTCTGTCTTTTATTAAATTGATGAATTGTATATGAAATTTAATCTTCTTTAAACAAATATGCACCCTTCTTTAAGTTCATTATAACAAAATAATTAACAAACAATATGTCAAATATTTGAAATATAGTTTTATGGATCCCCCTTACAATCTCATAACATTATACTATCTGAAAAGATGCTTCTGTGGATTAGTAGTAAAAGTGCAACAAGACTGAATATCTTCTAAACAGAGAAAAGAAGATAAATTTGATTTCTGAACATGTTTTCCGACTTTTGCAATTCGATATTATTAATGCAATTTCCATAAAATATCGAAAACATGTTTATCTCGTAAAAGAAAAATTGCAAATATGTCATGTAGACAGCTATTTGTGGTTCTTCGGCTCTGATGGAAAAGGGAAATAAAACGTACCTATGTATTGCATTATTGCATTTTCGGTAAACAGGTTCTGCGATCAAACTAATAGAAAATTACCGACACTAAATATTGTATTCATTGAGAACAAATGTTAAAACATCCTTTATATGGCGGAATATACCTATAAGTAATCCGTTCGAAAAGGAATCTTCAGCAAGTATAAATAAATTCTAAAGTTTACTTATTTCTAGTAAAGGATTCTTTTAATTTGTACACAATAAGGCTTAATTTCACTTATAACTTGTACAATATTTTACATAGAATAAGTTTTCAAATTGATAAAAAATCGTTTGATAACTCTATTTACAATACTATACAATAAAATACAATGCTTTTATTTGTTGGAGCAGGTGAGCGAACCATGACACCTCGAATTACACAATTTATTCTACATTTTGCATTTACACTTGGAATTGTGCAATTTGTCCTTAGTATAAAGATGGTTGTGCTTTGATGTTTTATTCTCAGCAAATTGGTGAACTTCTTGATAGAATATATCCTGTTGATCAACAATACTGGCCATTTTATTGAACACTATAACTTTTACTATTGCAAATGACCATTCGAAAGACCAGTGCACAGGAGTTCAGTTTCAACCTCAATGCAATATATAAATGAATCAATATGACGTTAAAAATTGTATAGTTTTATATGAATATATTGTCTTTCTTTAAAAGTTAAATTCCTAAAAATCTTTAATAATTTTGTTGTTTTAAAGTTTTAATTTATACCTTAATAAATATGTTGTAAATTGCTTATAGGTCATATTTTTTTCATTTATTTGTCCGCTAAGCACATTGAATTTTTTTTTTTTTTTTATAATTTGTACAAACTGAAAATACACAAATTATAATTTGTACGTTCTTATTGTACACATACTAATTTGTACAAAATGATAACTTGTACACAACATATATATAACCCATGTTATTTAACTGCTTGTCAGAGTACAAGTCCGTTATAATAACTTTGTTGGTAAAATTTGCATTGTTTAAATCATAATTAGCTTTTCTGACACCAATTTCATATTTGTGATTTATTTCAAAACTAAGCTGGCCATAAAACTTACAGTTTATAGCGAAAATCAAAAGCCATAAATTGAGTAATTTGTTGATAAAATCAGTCGCATAACTGTTCTGGCTGTTTCAACATTTGTCAAAACGTTATCACATATTGATATCATTGAAAAAGATCTCTTTTGATTTTTCATAAATAAATTGGATTTTATGTCTAACACGTCTAGTAGATATGCGGTAGGGTAAAACATTAATAGCATGTATAAAAGATTACGTTCCTGATGTACATGCAGGTTACGATAATTTGAATAATAATAGTTATTGAAACTTTACCTCATAGTTATCTCGCTTTGATCATTTTACTTCCCTTTAGAATGTCAAAAAGCAACTAAAACTAAAAAAAATTTGAAACGAAATTTCAAATGTAAGTCTCCTAGATATCGAATACATTTGGCGGGTGTCTGGTAAAAATCCATTTCTTTATTAACAACTCCATAGCCTACTGAACAACTTGAACCTTGCAAAAGATGTATGAATCGGCATAAATCTGTATAAAACAATAGGTTTTACAAAAGTTAAATCAAATATATGATATATGAATATTGTCCATCAATGTTTGCCTTGGTCATATTTAAATAAAATACAGACTTCTTGATTTTCTATTTTATCGCTGCACTTATTTCAGCACTTAAATGATTTCCCACAATCTATTTGTATTTGTTTATACTTATGTTTTCGGTCTTTGTAAAACACTGCCTTTGTTTCATTGTATATAAAAACAAGTAGATGTGATATGATTACCAATGAGACAACTATCCACCAAAGTTCAAATGAAGTAGATGTAAGCAAGTATAGGCAACCGTACGGCCTTCAACAATGAGAAAAACCCATACCGTATGGTCGGCTATAAAAGGCTCCGACATGCAAAATATGAAACAATTCAATTGAGAAAACTAACGGCCTAATTTATAACACAACAATTTACGAAAAACAAATATGACAGACATGAACCAACGACAACCACTGAACAACAGTGAAACTGCGGTATGTTTGTTTATTACTAAAAAGTATGAATAATTACAAAAGAGTTTGAACAATAGATTGCTGCTTAGTTGAAATATACTGGCAAATGTATAATGCTTATTAACGACGAAAACAATTTTACAATAATTACAATAGTTAGGCTGTGGTAAGTTGTTCGACCAGGGTTAAGAGCGTGTAATGTAGACTGCCACTGTCAAATGATGAGGGTATGTCGGAAAGGAGCAAATATTTGTATTGCAGCAGGGCAATCTACAGACCTCTCAAAGAGTTGTTGCAAGGTTTCTTTAACGTACAGACTTCATGATATTCTTTCTACAACAGACATCGGCTTAGGCGTTACCTTTCAATCATACATACTATGTTTAAAAATCCCTCAAATACAATCGGAAGATCCTTATCAGCAAGGTAATCACTGATTAATCTGAAAAGTCCAGGTAACCATATTTCTTTACCCAAGGACTTTTTAGGTGCAAAAAATAACAATGGCTACTATTAATTGTCTCCTTTATATGAAATACAAAAAAAAATGTAACATTAACGGTACAAATTTTTCTTAACCAAATGCGCATTTTGACAATAAATGTCTCGTCAGTGATGCTCGAGGCCAAAATATTTAAAACTTATTCAAAAAATGAAATGCTTATAAACCAAAAAGGATAAAAAGTACAACCAAAGCCAGGTAACTTTAATGATTTTTATTTGAATCTTCGAACCGTAAAGCCATGTGTACGTGCATCCCTGATGTCCTACTGCAAGGACCTTATACAAGGTTCCATGCCAGATTGTTTCGTATTCTATTTCAAAGTTGAAAACGCATATCAAATGTAAGCCTCTTGAATAGCAAATCCAAATTCATTTGGATGATGTCTGCTAAAAATCCACCTATCTATCACGTTTTCGGTCTTTGTACAACACTACCCAAAAATGGCAATCCAGTTTGTTTGTTTGTTCGTTACTAAAGGTTTTCAATAATAACAAAAATAATTTCATCAATATATTGCTGCTAACTTAAATCTAGTAGCACATATACATAGCATATTAAGGACAAGAAAAAAGTTAATAACAATTAAAAGAGGTAGGATTTATAATTATGATATTATTGAGTTAGAATTTGTGTATCAAAGGAAATTCGACCCATGACTCAACATTTCTTACAACAGTTTCTTGTGAATATTTTGTTATGCCATTTGAGTATTCTTGCTGGTTGAAACTATGTTGCAACTAGGCTGACAATGTTTCATTTGACATAAGGAAACTATTCGCAGACCAGATGTAGAAGATCATATTCTATAATTGAATTTTAATTAAGATCCTGTCACTGGTTAGCTGGTGCTATAATAGAAACAAAGTGTAGTTCTAGAGTACACAATTTTAATACTGGTATCTGTGATGAGTTTATGTATATGTTTTGTGTGTTATTAAGTCCATCTTAACATGTTCATGCTGACGACACCGACAACTCTTCGAGACTCGGGTCCAATACAGCTAATCTCGAATCTATAACAGGGCCAATACAGAAACAGTCAGTTTATAACACTATATTTAATTCTTATGAATTCATATTAAGTAGATATCTTTTTTTTTTTTTACAGAAGTCAATAAACCCACACATTTACCTCATCAAAAGACAGTTATTGTATAGGATAGCTTTTTAATAATCATAAATCACCTCTCAAACATAACGCAAGGAAAAGTTAAATTGTCAGAGAACAATAATATGTTAACTATTAAAAAACATAACAAATGTCAACAAGTACAAACATACGAGGATACAGTCAAGATGAGTTCCATGGCATGAAAGGCACCTTTTATTCCGAGTCCTTTCAATTTTTATAACATATCCCTGAAGCATACATATAAATACCTGAATAATGAGTCCGAAACGTCTTGGTCGTTGTCATAATCCATTAAAATAATGACGACTATACACTGAAAGGTTTTCCCTTACGGCTTTGAACGAATATAATTTATATAAATGTGAGAAGTATATACTCATATTGTTTATTTGTGGCAGAACAAATCTTATCCTTGTAAGATAAGGCTTCCTGGGTTACGAAAGGAAGTAAAGAAATGAAAACGAAAAGAGAAGGTAGAGTGAATGAATAAATAAATACTTGTGTCTCGGTGACTTCGTAAGCATTAAAAAGTTAGACAAAAATGTTTTGAAAGAATTTGACAACTTTTTGTCATGAAACTGAACAGGAAGCAGTCTCATTGTTAACAATGTAAATCACAAAAGTACACAAATACAATTATGTATAATAAACATCTTTTGTCAGTCGCTGACCTTTCTGAATTTGGAAGAAAACTTGAAAAATAACACATAATCAAGCTCATAAATAAAAATCTATCTG